TGTGTATAGCGCCAGGCTCCTTCACACCTGGTGATGGATACGATGTATGTTTGGTCTGAGTTCAAACATTGATTGGGCTAGTTATTAGCATTCTAACATTCTGCTTCGCTACTTTGTACTACGTGAGTGAGGTCAGTCCCGGTCAGGTCAGTCTTTATATTTAAGTCTTCCCTGTGCTATTCAACACCATTATGTATGTATGAGAATGCACACTGCTTGTCAAGATTCTATTCGCACCGCATTGTCCATTCAGTCCTTTTCATCACATTGCAGATTCTCGGTTATTGCGTACATTGCATATCTGTGCATGTAACAGTTGGTATCGGAGCTTTCCACGTGAATCAGGACAACCTGATCTGACACGTGTGCGGGGACTAATTAGCTGGTTAGTCTTTATTGATTGATTAGAACACAATAGTTAGACCCCAAAATCACGATTTTGACCTCACTATCGAAAATCGAAATTTTTCTTTTCTTAGATTTTATTTTCTCGTTGGTCTGTTGTGGAAAATCGCAATATCGCAACGTCTGAAATTCCCATTTTCGTTTTTCTTCTGAAAATTCAAAATTTCGCTGTTGAAAATCCGGAATATTTTGCTTTTCAAAAATTTTGATTTGCTGTTGCATTTCCCGTTACTTAGAAATTCGGAATATTTTCTTTTCTGAAATTCGTTTTTCTGAAAACGGTACGGGAAATCCCTCCTGCGGTATTATTCTTCAAAACTGCGAATATTCTCATCAGAATAAATCCGAATACTTGTCATTTCTGTTCGGAATTTTTTCGCAGTTCTGGGATTCTGTCGTTAAGTTCTATAAATCATTGGCAGTCTAAAGTTGAATTTTTTTTTCTCATTCAGTGATCATTTCGCACTTCAAAGGAGGTTGGGAGACCTACCGAACTTGCAAAAATCGGGATTTTTATTTTTCTCGGAATTTTTTTGCAAAGTTCAAACTTTTCTTGTTTGATTAGTGGCTACTTATCTAAGTGGTTAGTTGGGCGATTATCCCACCCACCCCTCCCCACCTATGTTGTTGCCATCCCTCACCTTACCTTCTCCACTTGACTCGGGGTAACCCCTGCGACGGCATTGGTGAGTTGCCACGTCAGCAGGCCCCCGACCTAGTACATGCTGTTGCGGTCACAGACTGTTGTCATGGATCAGAGGCCCGGTGAAGCAGACGAGGCCTATCAGGCCCGGATGCTGGCTTGGAGTACCGAGGCAAAGAAACGGGCAGATGACGCAGCCGCAACAGCAAAAAAGAAGGCAGAGGATGCCGAGCAGGCACGTCTGCTGGCGATTGAACAACAACGCCAGCATGACGAGGCGGCAGCAAGGGCTGCCGATGAAGAGAGACACCAACGTCGTGAGAAGATCTTTACCGAAGAGCAGGCGTTACTTACAATGGCAGGGGAATGGCGGACCGAGGCCGAGAATAGCTAGTTGGAGGATAGCGCAAACAAAATAGCGCTCCTCCTCTCGCATCTCACAGACCTCCTAGCAACCTGCATTACACAGCAGGAGGAGATCCACGGTCTCGACAACTCGCTAGCTCGCGTCCAAGACTGCCTTCAGCGGTTGGAGCAACGGCCAGTCGCCGCCGCCGACGCAAGCTCTTCCAACACTTCTGACCGCCTCAACGCATTGGAGATGGACGTCGACTCACTCAAGAATGGCGTGCAATTGCAGTAGACCGCGACACAACAGTTGCAACAGCGGATCTGCATTACCGCCAACACCTCGAGTTCGGAACCGAGCGAGACAACTCCAAAGTTCGATGGGCAGGAGATCTTCTACGATTCAATGAAGACAGATCTGGTTCCATGGTTTCGCAAGTTCGAGCTCACGCTGCAGCTCCACAACGTCAAGGAACACAAGCACCACGCATACTTGTACTCTCGCTCAGGGGGCGCGTGTCAGGCTTGGTTGGAGAACCTGTTGTCCAAGTACGGAGTGGTAGCCAACGACTTGCACACCAAGATCAGTTGGGATGATCTGAAGGCGGCGTGGCACAAGCGGTTCCAGGTGGAGCCGCCAGAGATCAAAGCCATGGACAAGCTCATGGTCTTCGAACAAGGCATGCTGCCAAGTACGGACTGGATCGCCGAGTACCAACGCTTGACGTCAGTCCCAGACATCCACATGGGCTTCAAAGCCATCCGCCATTACTTCATATCAAGGTCATGTCCAACATTAAGCAATGCCCTGACGCATGTTGAGGACACCTTGACGACGACAACGAAATTGTTTGACAAGGTCGCGCAGATCATCATCACGAACAAGGAGGCCAAGAACCTCCGTTCATCTACGTTAGGCCCGAGCAGGGACCGGCATCGGCCAAGAGTGGCCGTGATAGCAGAGGCAACGCCGTTTGACCAATCCAGCGAGGTTGTGTCTGCCAGTGAAGGGGACAGACTCGCAGCCGCCCGGGAAGGTGTCCGCCCCGGCAGAGGCCGAGGACGCGGCAAGACGAAGACACACACCGCATCCAGCCCCGGGCCCGGTGCAGCAGCTCAGGCAGGCCCATGGTCCCAATATGGCATCTCCGAGCAAGCATTCAAAGCACGCGAGAGATTCCATTATTGCCTTTGGTGCAACATCGATCTTCATCAGACGCAGGTTTGCCCATTGAAAGGCAAGGGCAAACAGGGAAAGTGAGCACCGCCGAGAGTGACTCGATGACACTCTCGACGCCTTCGGAACCGGTTTCTTCGCGAGTAACCGACCTTCATTCCGAGGCGCACACGGAAGTCGATAGTCCTCTTCTTCTACTTGCTTTCGAGGACTACGCTGCCCGGCTCGTTCCTACGCTGGGTACTCAAGCTCAAGGACAAGAAGTGTGTGCGGTTTCTTCTTCGTCCAACAACGATGACATATCGTCTTCAAGTGGTTCTTCACGGGATTCGGCACGCGAGTTCAACATAGAGGCATTGGACCCGCTGACGTCCTAGGACTTTGCATGGCTTCCTCTCCCGACCACAGGCCGCTTGCCGGGACCGCAATGCGCAGCACTTAGCGCTCATCTCCACACTTACTTATCCTTCTATGCACCACCAACTTCGCCGACGGATGACAAAGTCGCGGTGGGGGACATCCTGGCGTATACTACCAAGGTGGCCCGCGAGTTTCGCACGCAGCGGTACAATGACAACAACGCACCGCTCATGTATGTCCGCATTCAGGTTGGGCAAGCGTCCTGCAACGCTTTGCTGGATAGCGGCTTGTCTCGCAATTTCATGAGCCAGTCCTTTATGCAAAAGGCTGGCCTTGGCGCACAAGTTCGGAGGAAGGCAAACCCGACGGCGATCAAGTTGGCGGATGGAAAGACGCAACAACTTCTCGACCGTTACATCGAGGCCGTACCGGTGTGAGGAAGCCCGGGGAGGGGCTACCTACTGTTCGCTGAAGCCATGGGCTATGGCGCCTGTCACTTGGCCGTGCCCGCTTCCGAGGTCCTCAACGATCAGCAGGGCGTCTTCTGAGACCTGTCTGTCACACTCGTTCCTTAGTGCTCGGCCAGAACTTCTTCATGACACACCGGAATAAAAGGGAAACTAGAAAAAATAAAAAATAAAAAAATACAGATTATTGCAGACTTTCGGTTTCGAGATCTTTGGCTGTATCTCATTCCACGGCAGTCCCTTGTTCTATCAGAATTTCAGGAGGGGCCAGATTGAGATCCGTTTTTATAATAATAATGTTAAGAGAATTGTTCGATTCAACAAGAAGAAAACAGCAAAATTTTTATTGGTACGCTGTCTCATAATTGTCACTAAGTAACAAGGGGGGTGTTGTCTCGCATGTCCCTTTTAGATTGTCACACACAGAACCCGCTAATGGAAACCCCGCTGTTCCCCAATCAGTTCAGTGGGGCGGTATGCTCAACCCGTTTCATCCCTGGCTGTTGACGCCAGCCACAACATAAAGATCCGTGCAACCACTTGAGTACACCCATTGCCTGCGGCAAGTTGCTGGCCATCACCTGGCAGATTGTTGACGCATGATCAGCCTTGGATCGAGTTGGGCATAGCAGTCTCGAAGTGTGCATCTTACAGTCTTTCGCTCTCTCTCCTGCCGTTCATTTTCCCTCTGATTGTGCATGCCCTGTCTCCCTCCCTGTCAGCAATTCCGAATTTGGGATGGGGCAGCGTTCTGATGGGGGTAGCATCCGAATGGTCCCGCCAGCCATTTGGGACTTCCATGAAAAAGGATGGTCAGCCTGATCAGGGTACTCAATGCTTGGTGAGCCAGCTGTCTGTTCAGCGGCTCTATTGGAGAGCAACGGTAGTGAGTGAGGAAAAGGCTCGGTATGCCAACTGAACAATATGCCGCCAGTAATGCTCCACAACTTCTCTTTGTCCCGTTTCCCGTCAACTCACGTTTACCCTCCACTTTTTCTCTTCCACCCCTCTTTCTCTCAGAAGCTGGTTTTCTGCATGCTCTTCTTTTTCCCTTCTCTTTCGTACGGACTCCCGCAACGTGCTCATACCCCCCCTTTCCACCAGCGCTCTCTCTGACCAGCGGTGTACTCCGCTCCACTACCAGTACGGTCTATCTCCTAGTAGCACGTTCTCTGATTTACTCCCACTCACACTTGATGTCTCTCTCTCTCTCTCTCTCTCTCTCTCTCTCTCTCTCTCTCTCTCTCTCTCTCTCTCTCTCTCTGTGTGTGTGTCTGTCTCTCTCTCGCTCACACACACTCACGTAGTCTCCCTCCCACACGCACATGCTCACACAGTCTCTCCCTCACGCACACACCCTTAACACAGTCTCTCTCTCTCACGCACATGCTCACACAGTCTCTCTCTCACTCACACACCCTTAACACCGTCTCTCTCTTGCGCACATGCTCACACAGTCTCTCTCTCACTCACTTTGCGCAGCCCCCCCCTTCATTCACTATGCTCTGCGGGCTCAGACTCTCTGTTCCGTTCTCTGCGAGCACAATCCTCCTCCCTTTGTCTCCGATCTCCTTGCAGGCGACGGTTCGGGGCAGCAGGTCTCAGAGGACCTATAGCCTTAACAATTCATGTTAATTTATCCCAAAAATAAGCAAAAGGGTAATTAGTGGGATGATGTTTACTGGTTGATCACAACCCATATCCCGGTTCTAATCTCACCAGGATCTTTTGCTTCACAGCCAGTGATAAGGGCTGTTTACTTTACCGTCCATTCTTATCCAGTGCGGAAAAGCTCGCTTCGCAGCCAGCAGCAATGCCCGGTCACTTCACCGTCCGATTTCGCCAACATAGGAGTAGTACGCACCACAGCCAGCGACAAGGGCCGTGCGCTTCACGGTTTGATCTTATCACTAGGGGAGTCGCACGTTTCGCTGTCTGCGCTAAGGGCCGTGCACTTCACCGCCTGATCTCATCATTAGAGGTGTAGCACGTTCCACGGCCAGCTCTACTGGGCAATCACATTCCCGCCTGGTCTCATCAACAGCTGAGMAGCTCGCTTTGCAGCCAGCTTTACTGGCTGATCACATTACTGTCTGGTCTCACCAACAGCAATCACATTACCGTCTGGTCTCTCCAACAGCAATCACATTATCGTCTGGTCTCATCATCAGCAATCACATTATTGTCTGGTCTCTTCATCAGCGTTCAGATTACCGTCTGGTCCTTCCAACAGCAATCACATTATCATCTGGTCTCATCATCAGCGTTCATATTACCGTCTGGTCCCTCCAACAGCAATCACATTATCGTCTGGTCTCATCAACAGCGGGAAATGTGAAATGCTTGACTACGTGCCATCAGTGGGAATGTGAAATACTTGATTACCCGCCAACAGCGGGAATAAGAAATGCTTGATTGC